GTATCAGTCCCTCTCCTAAAATTATATACAAAACCTATATATATATATATATATATATCACACAAGATGACAGAGAACTATAAACACTGTATTAAATATATGTTTTTTTTTTCTTTTGTAAAAATGGGTATGGCAGGGAGATGGGGTGCATCTTCTTCGTGTTCATTTTTGAAGAATGACACAAAAACTCTGAATAGTTTAATCAATAATGTTATAAGTTGATTGAGTGAATCTTTCCATCAGGCACTGACGGAATGGAGACATATCACGATTCATTGTTAAGGTACGAAATTGGTTTATTTTGAGTTACATAGTAAATTAGACATGTGATAAGGAGGCTTAAACCTAAAATTATTTACGGGAAGAATTCACTCAGAACTGATATAATATCAGAAATTAAAAATCAATTGATAGTAGATGCGAAATGAATGTATATTTTTGCAGTATGAGTATTTTCCTATTATGAACAATAGCGGCGGTCACACCTATTATCACAGAAGCTTTGAATTTCCAGTTCTGTGATCGAGGATGTGAAGAAATGAAATTACATAAAGTCACTCCTGTTATGGAAATCTGTGAAGTGAACGTTAAAGGTGTCAAATACGAATTGTACACCAAGAATATCCTAAAACCGACCTTCCTGTGAAAAAGTAAAATGATTCACTATCTCTGGTACAGTAGCCTCAAACTGAACTCTCTCTGAGCGAAAAGATCGAAATAGTAAATCAACATTCAGATTTCTTTTGCATCAAAACGAAAAAAAAATCGAAAACGGGTATCAAAAATCTGGATCTGCCGAAAACAAAGGTTTGAATCACTATCTATGTATGATTTGCTAGTCTGTAAACAGTCATATACAATTCCCCAACAGGTCAAACATGTTTACGACGTGATATCAATGTTTTACCACAATGGAAGAGCTGACAACCAGTGAAAGCGTCTATTGAACATTGATATTCAATCAAAGATTGTAAAATATGTATGTAATCCCTCACGCACTATAAAACGTATTGCACATGCGCGTGATATTGAATATTGAATGATTATTGTATCGGCTATTCTTGATGAAACCGTCCCACAGGACGACGAATATTTTTCTAAATTGAAAAATGTAGTTACGTTATTTATTAATGTGACAGCTAAATTGTTTGAAAACATTAAAAACTTAGATTTAATTTCTGGAAATCTGAAGTGATATTTTTTTGTGTGAACATAGTGTTTGTCAGTATAAACGAACTTAAATATACCGATGACACATCATTTGAGAATGTGACAATAATTGCTTGAACACATATTTATCACGGTTGATGAAGTAGAAAACGCTTGCTATTCTGGAATATATTATTTTCTTAGCTTTGTTTGTAAGTCTCCACATTTTTTTTCTTTTTATTATTTTTTTTCTGTTTTCGCCTTGTTTCGGATTATGAGTGTAACTTACGATATCTGTTTGTTTTGCTGGCATTTTCTTTTTGTTTGTGATTGTGACGTCATTATTGCTGATTAGAATCAAGGAATGACAGACCGCAAAATTTATGTTGCAAGCTTTTTAATGATTGTGTTCATACATTACGCAGTATTCTAGAAGCATGTCTGCTAAGCGTTTCGAACACCCATATCTTCCCCAGACGTTCTATTATATGTTTCATAGTTTTAAAATTTGCATTGTAAGAATTCGTTTTCTATTTTCTGTATGATACCTCTTCCCATTCAAGCCTTTAGACGATCTAGATTTTATTGTTTTGATTTTGTTTCCTTGGTGGTAATATTCCCAGCTGATAGATATACCTCACATCAAACCAGCAGCAACAAATTCCCGATAAACTGTATCATGATCAGGATTTTTCGTGTTTTGTGTGTTTTCCATTTCCAGAAGGTAACACTCCTGGTTCCCTTTCGACACAAACTTATTTTCTGACGAGCAAAATCAATACACGTGGTATGATTGCATTGAAATGACTGCCCCCCCCCCAACCACCCAACCAACCACCCTCCTCCCGCCGCCATCACCTCCAAAACTCTTCTCTATAAAACCGCCCGCATTAGGATACATGTTGTACAGCAAACTGCTTGTCTATGAGGAAATATCGTTCTGCCCTAACACAGCTAGTGTTGCAGTCTATTCTATATTCAATGACTCCATGTTTCTGTGATTTTGTGTCAGTAAAGACACAAACGCTGCATGTTGAAACAGTCACCAGCCTGTTTTCATTGACCGTTGGTAATGAGTACGGGTGTTTTCTATGTAATATCATCACATTTCGGTATATGACACGAGCTCAGCTTTTCCAATATCACCAACACGTGGGAAGACGATCCGCCATTTTTTCTCATTATGACTTGGAATATGGATTTCGTTTCCGACATTTTACATATAAAATGCATTTATTCAACGTAATGTGCTCATGTTATTTCAAAATAAACGAAATCTGTCAATACTTTCAAAGGTATTTTTCCTCATTATCCCTGGGAAAATGGATTTTGTTTAAGACATTAAACGTATGAAATGGAATGAATTCTATACATGTGCTCATAATATTTCAAATGAAAAAAAAATCTCGAGAATATTTGCAAAATTGTGTTCTCTATGATCCGAATACGAATTCTTCATTGCGCCATTTTGCTATCTAACATAAAATAACGTTGTCGCTATACATGACTCTGCATACTTTTATAGATACTTTTTGTTTGAAACTCGGGGTCGTGAAATATTAGTTCTGATATAAAGAATAAATCTTCTTTGTTATTTAAACAACTATCAACTTTAGAATGATAATAGAAGTTAAATAGGTAAAGGAAAACAAATAAATAAAAATTATCACAAAACGATCAGACATAGATACGCAGATATCCATCAAGTCTCTTGTTATTTAAATAACTATCAACTTTAGAATGATAATAGAAGTTAAATAGGTAAAGGAAAACAAATAAATAAAAAGTTAGGGCCACACACCTTGTGTTGTACCCTGTAGATCGGGCCCCACACCTTGTAATGTACCCTGTAGATCGGGCCACACACCTTGCATTGTACCCTGTAGATCGGGCCACACACCTTGTATTGTACCCTGTAGATCGAGCCACACACCTTGTATTGTATCCTGTAGATCGGGCCCCACACCTTGTATTGTACCCTGTAGATCGAGCCACACACCTTGTATTGTACCCTGTAGATCGGGCCACACACCTTGTATTGTACCCTGTAGATCGGGCCACACCCCTTGTATTGTACCCTGTAGATCGGGCCAAACACCTTGTATTGTACCCTGTAGATCGGGCCACACACCTTGTAATGTACCCTGTAGATCGAGCCACACACCTTGTATTGTACCCTGTAGATCGGGCCACACACCTTGTATTGTACCCTGTAGATCGGGCCACACACCTTGTATTGTACCCTGTAGATCAGGCCACACACCTTGTATTGTACCCTGTAGATCAGGCCACACACCTTGTATTGTACCCTGTAGATCGGGCCACACACCTTGTAATGTACCCTGTAGATCGAGCCACACACCTTTTATTGTACCCTGTAGATCGGGCCACACACCTTGTAATGTACCCTGTAGATCGGGCCACACACCTTTTATTGTACCCTGTAGATCGGGCCACACACCTTGTAATGTACCCTGTAGATCGAGCCACACACCTTGTAATGTACCCTGTAGATCGGGCCACACACCTTTTATTGTACCCTGTATCGTAGACTAAGCTTTGGCCGCAGATATCGAGATATCGGAGTTATATCTATTACAACGTCAGCTTTGTGGCTGTATTATATCATTATTGATCCGATTTATTACTTTAAATGCAAATTTATTTTGACTTTTAAAGTAAATTTAGTAGAAACAAGGTATAATGACTTTATCACTCAGACTGGCTTCGATTTAAGCTCTCGTTGGATTAATCTGTTGGCAGGAACCAGAGTACTTGGGGAAAACCCACATGATCAGGCAGGTGGCCTTGACCTTTTCACATCCGGTCAGGGAATCGAACCACGGTCGCTTACTTAAAATGCAAACACCTGACCTATTGACCACGCCATTCGGAAGTACTCTGGCTGGTACAATGGAAAAATGAGGCAAAAGAAAATATAATACGATTTTAGAATTTACTACATAATGTCCTTTCCACATTGGATTCGATTCTTCAATAAATCATTTTTTGTCTGGATTTTGCGACATATTTTTTGTATATGCTCGGAGGTCATCGTCAATGATTGTGCTAGAAATAGGTCAATTTTATTATTTATCTAGGTCAGACATCCAGGGACAAATCTTTCAGTATATATTCTCAAGCACAAATGTAAGTAGGAGGGTATGTGAGTTTGAATTCGTTATCGAAATAAAATGTGTATAACCATATATATCTACATGAATAAATTCCAAGTCTGTACGTTTTCTATGCGGGTTGTGTAATGGTGATTTATGTGTTAAAACCCGTGGTACGTTGAAGTGTAAAAGAACGAAGGAAGGGTTGTTAACTAGACACAACGAAGTGGAAGTTGAGTGGACGTCTAAAGTGAACTGGTCTTTGACGACCAGTTAATCCGTGAGGACAGCTTTGATTCAGCGATATATTTTGGAGAAAAGAGAACAAGTTATTGGCATATGAACGCAGTTTGGATAAATTGTCCATAGAAATTTGGGAGGAAAAATCAAAATCTAACAATCATATTGGAAGTGATAAAGAATGAGGACGACCAGACAAATAGATAGACAAATACTGCAAAATTCATAGACTACAAACCAGATACGGAATATTTTAACAGATACTTGAAAATGGCTATCTGTATGAAAAGTCGGACGTACGGACGAATTTGATTTTTTCTCAATGAACGGACAAGGGGACAAAGAATTGAAAATAGCTGCTGCCACAGTTATTACTGGACTAAAAAAATACACTGATTTTTCGTTTTTGAGAACGAAAGGGCAGAACTACGCGCAATACGATTAAATTATTATATAGCGAAGCGTTTCAAAGTTGTGTTGGACGAACGGACAACGATGTACGTCGACGTGGATGATATACAACGAGAACTGAAACCTTGGGGAAGGTACCAAGTGTTACAACTTCTTTATCTTTTCGTCTCCTATCTCCCGGTGGCCATTCCCTTATTCATCGTTATATTTATCGGTAAGTCCTCGTTAGGCCAATTTTTCCCGTGATGCATTGCTGTACAGTACTTTTGTACATCACCGCATTGCATTCTGGGAGACAAAAACATTCTTCATTCTTATTATCTACTGATACATTCCCAAATATTTTGCGTTAGAATTCAATACTCGTCATATTAGATATAAACTTGTATCAATTACGTCACTTCCGCCCAGATCATTTTCATGTGGATGATGTCAGGTCAACTCGGAGCATGCGCATTCTGTACCTTCCTTTCAGAACATCTCTGCTTTAAATAAGCTTTGATTTAATAACGACCACGTAACCACGAGATTTAATTATAAACCAAAAGATTAAGATTGGCAAATAACATATTTTTCTTTCTAACAATCATTATTATTTTGATTGTTGTAATTTTCTTTATTATCTGTGATCTCTCTGATTTCTGGTGAGTGCGGTGATCGTCAGTTTTTTTTTTCTTAGGATACACTCCCCCTCACAAATGTGCCGAGCTGTCTAAGCCTCTGCAGGAATATAGACTCGGAATTCCGGGGGGAAATGACTCGGATTACGTCATCAATTACGGTCAGTGTGAGCTGACCATCAGCAGTAACCAGAGCAACAGTAGTTGGACACCGGTTACTACTTCCTGTTTACAAGGCTATAGTTACGAGACAACAAAGGAATATTCTTTTGTCAGCGAAGTAAGTGACCTTTAATAGAGTAATACCCCCGCTACTCTCATTTGACAGCTGTTTACGGCGTTTGCCGGAAAAGCTCGAAGATGTCCGAATATTATTAACTAATGGCGTTTATACTGGGCGGGTTCGATCAAGGAATATTTCTCTTTCTAGAGTATCTGCGCATGCGTTGTCGTTTGAAGCATGGCAGTGATTGGTTGGTACGATTTAGGATAATAGATCACACTCGAAATTACATTGCAACCTGGTAACCAACAACATACGTTGCAAGGGGTATAACTCCGATGCTTGATAAAGGCAGCATGTCGGTGATGAAAGGTTTCTCTGTCACGTTATTCCTTGAAACGTAACAAAATTAAGAAAAATACCAACATGTCAACATAATCCGCATCCAAACTCAAAATTAATAAAACTATGGCAAAATATGAACAAAAAATATTTACACGGAGACTCCTGAAAACGTACCAGGAGAATAAATCCAGGTGTTCCAGAAGAGAAAGAAGAGAAAGCGCCTTCTGCTTCTTCGACGACACCCTCCATGTAAACTTTCATGTTCTCAAATGAGAACAAGGTATACAGGAAGAAATCCAATCGATAACGAGCATCAAACACGCCCAACTTCGTACAAAGAAACGGAAATACTTCTCAAGTAGATCACTTTGTCTATAACAGTCTGTAATTGTTAAACCATTGTTAGACCCCGTCTTTTCCATTGCCATCTCCTATCACCAATGCTGTTCAATACTAGATTTTTTAAAAATAAATCGAAAACAAAAAAAAACTGATATCACTGAACCGTCTAAATCACACAGTGGGATCTCGTCTGTGACAAACAGGGACTTGGGGGCCTCACCACGACACTGATCATGGTCGGTCAGGCGCTTGGAGCAACAATTTTTACCACGCTTTCCGACCGGTAAGTTGTTATAAACCAATTATGTTGATATATCTAATAACTTCTTCATGAATAGTCAGATATCATTGTTTTACAAGCCTCGTTCAGCTTTCAAATGACCTATCCCGAAAAAATTCATCCTAATATCGTGTTATCTCATCAGCGAATTGCGAAGAGCTCATCAACATTAGAATACCTCGAAAATTGATCTAACCACAATATGTTTTATAGATATGGAAGGAAGACAGTTTTTCTGGTCACTTTCATTCCCTTAACTGCTGTTCTGACGGGGACCGCCTTCTCGCCAAACCTTCTTGTATTCAACATCTTAAGGATTATCACGGGTTTCATACAGCAGGTAAAATTGAAAACGTTTATTACGAACTTTGAAATTTCAAATATCTGTATTTCTCGAAATTAAGTTTATGAATAATGTAAAAATATGTCAAACCACTCAGCAATATATACTTAACTCAAACCTCTCTCTCTCTCTCTCTCTCTCTCTCTCTCTCTCTCTCTCTCTCTCTCTCTCTCTCTCTCTCTCTCTCTCTCTCTCTCTCTCTCTCTCTCTCTCTCTCTCTCTCTCTCTCTCTCTCTCTCTCTCTCTCTCTCTCTCTCTCTCTCTCTCTCTCTCTCTCTCTCTCTCTCTCTCTCTCTCTCTCTCTCTCTCTCTCTCTCTCTCTTATGAAATTCTGTGTATGTTTTTGGTACAGGGATGTTCCCATAGGAACGCAAAGACACCATTATAATAGGCAATGATCTTCTTTTATTTCAGGGTCTTGGTTTATCTATGTATGCATTGTGTATCGAGATGTTCCCCTTAGAGAATCGTGGCGCCATTGCCGCCGTTGCTGGTTTATATTGGGCGATCGCAGCACTTTTCTTTGCCGGATATGCTTTTGTCCTTCGGAACTTCTCGTGGCGGATCTTGCAACTAGCTTGTGCAGCCCTCGCATTTCACTGTGTATTCGCCCATTGGTAAAGACTTCTCGAACAAGTTTACTCTCACACCACCTGTTCAGTTCGATTTTAGGCAATCATCACCTGGTGAAATTAAACGTCATTAACAAAAAACAAAAAAAAAAAAACAAGAAAAAATGGAAACAACGATTTCGAAACGAGTGACTAATTTTGCTGAGAAACTTTTCCGTGTTATAGTTTCATTCATTCTTTAACAAATCGATTTCAAAAGTGCATTGATTTGAAATGAAATTGAGTTGTGAAATAAAACGAAAATCTAATTTATCGTCCATATAAGATGAATATTTTTCATTCCTGCTTTGGTTTTACGTGTGTGGCAAGTTTGATAGATTTTAATGGGATTTCGCTCTGATTTTGTGATTTTCGTGATTTTACGTAAATCTATATTGTAACTTTCCTTTTCATTTTTATTCATTTTTTTCCTATTTATCTATTTATTTTTAATCATTATCGTTATTTTTAATCAGGATTGCCGACGAATCACTGAGATGGTTGATAGCGAATAATAAACGACGACAAGCAATGAAGATGATTAAGAATATCGCCAAGAGGAACAAACTAGATCCCTATAAAGCACTCTGTATGTTAGATGGGGGCGGAGACCTCAAAACACTGTCCGTCACGGACCCAGGGGAGACATCTTTACTTCAAAATGAAACGGAAGTAGGACACGACGAGCGAAATGAATTTCATGACGGAAGTAAAAAGGAGCGGTCATTGTTTCAACTTGAAGCGGAAGTTAGAATTGGAAATAAGCAATCGGAACATGGAAAAAATTCTGAGTTTGGTAATGGGGAAGCACCACTGATATATCAAAAGGAACCGGAAACTACTAATGGTCATGCGCACAACGTCTTAGATCGAAGCAATGATGAAGTGTCGAATGAAAAAAGAGCAGAAAAATACACCATCCTGGATATCTTTAAACATAAACTGCTTCTCAGGAACTCACTGATCACGTGGTATACTTGGTAAGTTTTAATCACGTGTTATACTTTGGGTATATTTTGATCACGTGGTATACTTGGTAAGTTCTGAAACTTGTTTCTCAAGGACACCAAGTCTAATTGAACAATCCCGTTTGATAAGACAGTATGTCGATAATATCTGATTTTAAAAAAAAATGAAGAAAATATTTAACGTAAAATCATAAAAAAAATGACGACGTGGATCTCTTTCACATATTTTATTTATTCATTTTCATTTCATCACATTTAATCTTCTCTCTTTCACCATTCATTCAGTCATTCAATGATCACATACATAAACTAGGTGTGAGTAAACACATGGCTACAAATGTTATTATTTCAAACTTAGAAGGAAAACATGTGTATTTACATGAGTGTAAAAATTATCGATAAAACACAATCTAGTCCATGTTCACTGAGAAATACTGTAATTTTAATGGACGTTATAGGAATCAACACCAACCGAAATAGCTGTCAAAAGTTGGAAAACGCTTACTATGGCCCCTTCTGTGGCAGTAATCACTTTGTCTGTGCGTCCTTCCGTCAGTCCGTCCGTCCCTCCGTCCGTGATAAACTTGTGTAAAGTTATTTCATAAACACTAGAATAAATTTAGTTCTAATTCACACGATAGCATCAACCGACCAAGGTCTAATAAATCTTATTATACTTTGGTGGTCATTGGTCAAGGTTAAAGGTTAAAGGTAACCCTAAGCCACTTTTGAAATAAACAGTTTGTAAAATATCACGTGAAATCTTTAATCCATTAAGCCCTTAATTGATTTCGAACAGACGATAATTATGAGGGGGTGGATGTCTATCTTTAGTTTAGTTTAAACATATTTATTGCCAAAATAACATAGACAAGAGGATCGGGCACAAGTTATTACAACATTATTTAAGCCCTCTCCGCAAATATGTACAAAGAATACAAATATGGCTTAACTGGATAACAAAATTAGTATAATAAATAATAACTTATTTTAACAAGAGAGAGAGAGAGAGAGAGAGAGAGAGAGAGAGAGAGAGAGAGAGAGAAATTAATGAAATATTCTCTTTCATATAAATCTATTGAAATCTATTGCTGGTTTTTATAAATTTGTGTACCCGTCTGAAAATATCAATGTTATTTTGCAATGGTAAATCAGGATTACCCGACAATAATAAGTCTACATCGACTTCAATATCTAGGTTCAAACCCTGAAACATAACAAGTCTCTGGTGTCTATAGGGCGGACATTCCAAGAAGAAGTGATAGGCATTTTCACAAGGAAACCCACATGAACAGAAAGGACTATCAACAATATTTACCCTAAATAGATCGTAATTGAGTGGGCTGCAATTATACCTTAATTTAGTGTGAATTATATTAATTTTACGATCGCCAAATCCAAAGTAGCTAGGAGCAGAAGTAACTTTACGTGATGTAGCTTTTTTAAAATGTGCAAAAGATTCTAAGGACCTAGTGGCTAACTCGAGGTTGTTCCAGGAACGACGCGTAGATGGAAGAAAGGATGAAATGGTAGACGATTGTCTGAAATTAGGTATGATGAAATCATTGTTATTTCTTAATTGGTATCTAACAGATTCATGAATAACATTAGGAAGAATTATGTTTAGAAAATCAGGAGTAATGCCATTTTTCATTTTGTATAATAACTGAAGTTTTCTTCTATTTCTCCTCTCTGAAAGTAGCTCTAATCCTGTTTCATAATACAGAGAATGGTTGGTAGCATAGGATGGGAGACCAGTGATAATACGGGCTGCTACACGCTGACACTTTTCTAACATCTCACATTCTTGAATAGTACACCCGTCCCAGAACTCACAACAGTAATCAAAGATAGGCAAGATAAACGAATAGTACATTTTTAACAAAGTTTCCCTATTCAACAAATTTTTTTAGTGTTCTAAGTATATTTATTTTCTTCGTGACAGATTTGTGTATAGACATTATGTGATCCCCCCAGTTACCTTTCGCATTTAACACTACTCCCAGGTGACGATGACATTCGCTAAAATTCAGTAACTCTTCGCCAAAATAAAGATCAAAATTTCCATCTAGGTCAAGGGCGTTAGATATAAACAGAACACTAGTTTTTTTAGCATTAAAATCTACTAACCAAGTTTTTGCCCATTTACTTAGTGACTCAAGATCTCGATTTAAAGCAATTTCTAATTGACGACAAGAAGAAGATGTATGTAGAAGGGAAGTGTCATCGGCAAAAAGCCTAGAGGTAGAAATCAGTAAATCGGAAATATCATTAATGTACACTAGAAATAAAAAAGACCCAAGATAGAACCCTGCGGGATGTATATCTATCTACAATGCTTACTTATATCGGCCAATAGAAATGTTTCTTACATTTATGTCGACTAATAGAAATGCTTTGATGTCGGCAGGTTTATCAACAGTCTGACATATTATGGTCTGTATCTCTCGTCCGTAACTTTATCAACAGACCGGTATATCAACTTCCTCATCAACGCAGCCTTGGAGATACCAGCAGGGGTGGTGGTCTGGCTACTCATTAACAGGTAAGCTAATTAGCCATCTAAGATTATCATTTCATTTACTTTTATACACTTTATCGTTTCAGATAATTTTTTTATCTATTTATTTATTGATATCTACTTATTTATTGATTTATGTATCAACTACCCAGGTTTTTGTTTTTCCTTGTTTGTTAGTAAGGTCTAAAAAATATGTCGAGAGGAGGTTTGTTTTCTGTTATTTATTTACATGTCATGGACCTTTCTTGTTTTGGTAGTTTTAGAAATATATTTTCAATGAAAAAATCATTTCCTGTTACGACGGAGAAAAGCAAGTTATAATAAAAGACAAAGAAGGTTACTTAATCATCATGATCCCAATCGGATTTTTGTTTTTGTTTTTGTTCTTTTTTATTTCTACTCAAAAAAGAACAAAGATGTGTCGATTTGTCCGTATGCCCGATGGTTTACTTGTTATCATCACTCTTTATGAGTACATGATATTTCTAAGATTTGTGTAGATTTCCATGGCAGGGGTTGATGATGAAGCATGTGACGTAAAACACTTCCGGAACACATCTGCTTTTATTGTTCTTTTGATGTTAAAGAATCACTTTCGTAACACATTTGCTCCCATTCTCCTTTTGATAATAAAGAATCTCCGTCTACATTTGGCAATCTTTTTCGTAGCCTAACATCTTCTGATATCAAATCGCCACGTGTCCATGACATGTCGTCCGTCGTCCGTTCGTGAATCCTTTGACAATTCTTGTCACCGCTGTTTCTGGGGAAGCACTACATGGATATTTTTTTTTCAAATTTTATATGTTGATTCCCTTTGGTCCCTAGTTGTGTTTTGTCCTACTTTCGGACTGACACGAATAACAACATGGCCGACACTGAAATTACTCATCCAATTTTCTTTCCATTCGGAGAAACACTATAGCCGGCCATTTTGGATTCTGACATTGAAAGTTTACTTTCGCTATTTCTTGAGAAGTAGTATATGATTTTTTTCTCAAATATTTTTTCTATGTTTTCATTTGTCCCTTGTTGTCACCTTTTGATTTAGAGACTGTTATGTAAACAAAATACTGACAGACGAGGATTATAAAACCTAATTATTGCAAGGAATTCTCAAATTTGTATGATTAAATCAAATGAGAGGAAGAGGAAAATAGAAGATAAAAAAAATCAACTTTTCAAGAAGAAATGAAGATCAAACAATGGTGGCCATCAAGTTCTCCCTGTGATTTTTTAACAATATTTTTGTAGGATTGGGAGAAAGAAGACGTCCATCATCTTCCACTCTTTCGCCGGAGTCGCTCTTATTCTTTCTGTTGTCATGAAGCTCCCAAAAGGTTTGTCTCTAACACCGGAAGTGACGTAAACATTTACGGAATTTACGAAAAAGTGGCGCTTTCATTTTTGCTTTATGATTTCAAGGTATGAAATGCTAATTGTTATCATGATATGACTTTTTCGAAACCAGATTGTATAACACTGTTTGTCTTTGGATCCATTTACCTGTTATAAGGTTTAACAATTGTCTGAAGGACGGAATCATTTCACATTTGAAAGGGGAAACAACTTGGGAACGATTCTATGATTATAAAACTTTAATCAAAGTTATTCGAAACAACCGCCCTGTTTATAAAGATGAATATGTATTCCTTGTTTTGATATTTTTGTATACGCAATGTAAGCAATATTTACGTACACAGATTTTATTGGTCATTCAACATATTCTGACATATTGTATAAATAACATGTAACTTTGTGTTCAGATGACACAGGAGTCGCCAATATCTGTTCTATTACGTTTAATTTCCTGGGAAAGTTTGCCATCACTGCGTCCTGGACAACAATGGGCCTCTACACTCCAGAGATATATCCCACAAATCTCAGGTAAATTTACCCAACAAACCTCAGGTAAATTTACCCAACAAATCTCAGGTAAATTTATCCACAAATTTCAGGTAAATTTACCCAACAAACCTCAGGTAAATTTACCCAACAAATCTCAGGTAAATTTACCCAACAAATCTCAGGTAAATTTGCCCAACCAATCTGAGGTAAATTTACCCAACAAATCTCAGGTAAATTTACCCAACAAATCTCAGGTAAATTTATCCACAAATCTCAGGTAAATTTACCCAACAAATCTCTGGTAAATTTATCCCACAAATCTCAGGTAAATTTACCCAACCAATCTCAGGTAAATTTACCCAACCAATCTCAGGTAAATTTATCCCACAAATCTCAGGTAAATCTATCTACAAATCTCAGGTAAATTTTCCCAACAAATCTCAGATAAATTTACCCAACCAATCTTAGGTAAATTTATCCCACAAATCTCTGGTAAATCTATCCACAAATCTCTGGTAAATTTACCCAACCAATCTCAGGTATATTTACCCCACAAATCTCAGGTAAATCTCGTATGCCTTTGTTTTCCAATTCAGCATAACTGGAATTATTTAATTAATCATACAGTGTCCGAGCGTACATTTTTTTGCGGATTCTGAATTTCACCTTAGCACAGTTAATCGTTATTTTGATGCTATCTGTACAGCAATATTACCAATACCACAGGTGTCTTACTTCATTCCGACAGGGATAATCGGGCACATAGGAATATGTTTAAATCTTGTTAGATACAGTATTTTATTTTCAGGAACGCTGGACTAGGCGCCGCGTCTGCTGCAGCTCGGTTCGGAGGGATGTTATCACCATATGCGGATTTACTGGTGTGTTGTTGTACTGTCATCCATGTCCGTCCGTCTTTTCGTCGTTCCTTCCGTCTGTCCGTCCCATTCCATCCGTCCCGTTTCGAGTTAATGTTCTGCATATTTACTCACGGAGTGTCATAACATCAAACAAGTTGGCATCAGGTTAAAGGTTGAAAGGTCACAGGTCACATAGTAGCAGGGACAGACATTTTCTACTTAACTTAGAACTGATCTGATTGGTTCTCCTTTTGACCCTGATTAAGTAATTTTAAAAGTGTGAGGATTAAAAAAAATAAGGACAAAATCCCGATGATTTTAACCTTCTTTTAAATTGCTTCAAAAATTTGAAAGTGAGATGTTGGACAAAATTCCTTACATTAATCTTTCAGCTATTGAATATCAGGTTTTGTTTTCCCACCACACAGGCTCGGCAAGTGTTCTGGGGGCCGGGGGTGATATTCGGTGTGGGTTCCCTTCTTGTTACTGTAGGAATGCTGATGCTACCGGAAACCAATGGAAGGGAGTTACCACAGACACTCGAGGAACTCCTCAGCTGGTACAAGGGGGACCGGAACCGGAAACTCGCGCCAAATGATACAGAGACTGACACCGTTATCAAAGAAAATGGAGAGACTATTATATCTACGTAAATGTGTTCTCGATGAAATATTTTTTATTTTCAAAGTTAGGAGTTAAATATAAACATGATTTTACATCTGTGTATCGGAACAAATAAAGGTATTGTTGACAGATATAAAGTTCAGGAGTTGGCGTTAGGAGAATTTTATGTTATTAGATGGCATTGCCTTTGCTTACTAAAGGACTATAATCAACTATGCGAAGATACGAAAAGTGAGACGTCAATGAAAAAAAAAATCATTTTTTAAACAGAAAACTTCAAAAGATCACTGAAGTTAATTCAAAGAAATCACAGGATTGTCGTGAAAATAAAGCCTGGGCGACACCACCCTAAATAAATTTATTTATATTGGTATTTGTTTGTATTTTATCAGTGTTGCAATCAGGATAAAACTTTACTCTGGTGTTTCATCATCAAAAAATATTTAAAGATTTTGCAGAAATCTGTATCACGTTTTCCTTTCTATGTCCCAGTGTTTTTAAAAGTTTCTCAGGAAAATGAGAAACGTACCGATATGTGCTGTATTGTTTCTTCCTTGAGCAGGACACTCTATCCCAGCTGCTGTGTATGGCATGGGACGGGCCTCCCGTATGTTGTTCAGCGAGATCGCCGGCTACTACAATGGAACACTGCCCACAGTACCTTTACTGTGAACGTATAGCATAGAATTACGACGTGGTGGGCCCGAAAAGTTTTTGAAAAGGGCTCTGTGTTTAATCTGCTGCAGCTGCCGTCGTCATATACCTGTACAGTAGGATATAGTTATGTGACATACGGGCTTCCGTAGTTTTTAATTTTGACGTGACCTTAACATTATCAGGTTGTGAGTTATCATAAGCGTGACGTCACAACAACCGATAACATCCGTGATAAGTTATAGTTGTTATACACAGAGAAATTCAGTTTACCTTGATACAACCGATATGAATTCCGTCCTCGTTGTTTTCCTCTTTGTCAGCCTTTCATTGGTATACGGTAAGTATCATTCTTCAGAACTAGAAACTGAAAACTACCGAGAGTTATCGGAAACTACCGTAAACTGCAAAATTTTGGTTTGGAAATCTGTTGTTATAACTAAAGAGTATCATGATAGATGTTCAGATGATATTTATAAAAAAAATAAAACTAGATATTTATTCTATTTCAATCTTTTATGGATTCTATGTTTTATTTCGTTAACATGTCAAGACTTTGCCGTTTATTTTTTCTCTTGATATTGTATGTCTCACTGAATCACGTGCTATTGTTCTGTTGCTCACGTCACTTTCTTTTTGAAAGATAACAATGTTGACGCCGCAGATTGCGGTCCTGTTTGTATGATGTACTGTCGCTATGGTAACGTGATGGACGAAAGAGGGTGTCCCTTGTGTAAATGCAGTAAGTATATTTATCGACAAGAACGGATTTATAACCGTAATTTACATCTTAAATCGTATTGTATAAAGTTCTACCACAATACTTTGGTGTTACACCAATGTCAGTTGTGAATTATTAGTTCTTGAACTGCCAATATCCTAGAAATATTTCAATTTATGTAAACTAATTCATGTGGCTTTCCCTTATCGAAAGAACAAGTTTACCTTGTTGGCTTTTTGTACTGATATGACTCCTAGGCCAAATAAAACATTTCAGTATGTTGTCATTTGTTCAGACCCTGGCCCGCATACAGACCAGTGTGAAAAGTCAGTCTGTGACAAGGTATGTTCCCATGGTTACGTCGATGGCGTAGAGGGTTGTCCGACATGTGAATGTATCATTCCGCAGTAACAAAATAGTGCGTGCTGTGAAATAAAAACTGAGAGGATCTAGATATGCATGTTATCTATTTAGATAGATATAAGACTATCTATGTCGTGGAATATCTGCCGTTTTAAGTATACACAATTCAACATGGATTTCGTCCGTTTTAAATAACATATTCCTGCTCTGTAATTCCGATTCGGTTTCGATGATTCATGGCCCCATATCTTCGTTATCTAATGGACAGAATATTACATTTTCATTTACAGATTAACAAAACACGTCAAAAGCCTCTTTTTTTTTTTTTTTTTTTAGACTTCATATTTCACATATGAAATGAAAATTCAGTGTAAGGTCCTGAATTGATCACGGACACAACTTTTTAATAAGAATTAAAAACAAACAATTTGATGACAGCACTTTTATTGGATTGTACACACTTTAACAAAGTGTTTCCTATCAGTAAAATATGACATATACTTTACCAGTATGATCTAGTATGTTTTAGGGTCATTATTCATCCCATAGCGACAGAGGTCATGCCACCATTCAGTTTCTGTAGAGCGTCTTTCTTCTCGTGGTATTTCCTGCCCATGAAGACTGCAGTCACCAGGACGATGATTAGAGCGATGATTAGAAGGATAAGACCAGCGATGAATCCAGTTCGGTTCATACAAACGTCTGTATCATCGTCGGGTGCTGAAAATATATATATATATAAATATATAAAATGTGAAATACGACAGAAATGCAGCATTCCTTAGAATAACAGAAAAATCAATGCAAAGAGAAAAAAAGTAAAAAAGATATTTATAGATATTAATCTGATGGATATGAAACTCGCTGAAAAAATGTAAAGAAAACAGAAAATATATTTTAAAATTAAGATAAAAGTATTATAGTTTATAGTATTTAAGATTAGGAAACCATAGCAACCATAAAAAAGGAAGAAAAATTCATAAAAAAATTCTATGTTCTAAAATATATTTTTTAAGAAATGCCATAAATAAAATCGTTATTTTATGGATGGAATAAAATCGCGAAAATTAGAAACCATAAAAATGACATCAAAAATTTCACAATTGTTCCCGTGAAAAATACGTGAACATTATAATATCGAAAGCCATAGTCTGCTTCAGAATTCCCGTTAAAAATACCACTTCCTTCACGATGAATATTAGGTAAAACAGAGAGAATTGGAACTATCTTCTCAATAACACGTACTCTGAAGAATGACTTCCTCTGCTGCTATGGTAACGGTGGTACCAACACTGATGTCGTCAATGGCGGGAGCTGGATTGGCTTGTCTCTTCGAGATCCCTCTCTTTTTACGACCATATCCGTTACCACTGGGACACGTTGTCTATGAATATAATAAACACGTCATTAAAATTAAAATGGAGGCTATCAAGTGAATAAGACCATGTGTTTCGGAAGGTTAAACGTCATCAGCGACTTCTCAAAACCAAGGGTGTTGTATTTTTGGACATTATGATAAGAAAATCGTGGTATTTGACGAGCTAATATCAGTTAGATACTATGTGCAACAGTCACTTGAAGTATTAGGAAAAAAATTTCAGATAACATACGGCTGCACAAGATCCCTGACACACGGTCAGTGTGCACGAGAATGTCATGGCAACTGATCCCCCGTTGAGATCAGTCGTTCTGAAGGCCCCAAAGCTATTGGAAAGGTAACCCGGAGCAGGCTTGGTAAAATCTGGAAACAGGTCAGTATCGGCGGCGCACCTGGTGAAAAACAACCTTTTTTATTTTGCGATCTTTAAGCAATAACTTAGTTTAAAATTGAAAAGAAATCTAAAGAAATATTTAGCTTAGCATCAATAGCTCAGTATTACGCTTTCGTCAAAGAATTCCCTATCGTAAACCCTACTTTCTTTTAAGAGAAAAATATGGCAACAAATAATTCAGACCAGAGAAGCAGAATTTTTTTCATATATTGAAATAACTATCATAACAAACAAAATACAGAGTATCAATAGGCATTTCTGATGGGAAACCATGACTACGTTAATCAGGAGATTTACAGTCGTACATCAACTTTGGCTAGAAATGTATCAAGCTACAAATTCTGCATCGAACATCGAAGGAAGACATTTCTGAAGGAGTATTTGATTTGTAAATTTTAATGAAACTTACGCCGAATTTACGATGGAGATGGTGGAGGCTGTACAATCTTTAGCAACGATATCGAAATCAGCTGAGGAGGAAAACACGTGAATAATAAAGTGACACATCTTCAAAAATATTGATAGACAATATAAAAAATGTGATGTGATAATCCATTATTGACGAATGAAAACACAGGTTATAATGTGACTGTTTGTTTAACAAAATTATAACTTTTAATTGATCTTTATCACAATGTTCTAGCGTATCACAGACAGTATACCTATCTCCTACAGTGAATCTTCATGAACATTCTATCCAGCTTATGGTTAGAAAATAAATGGACAACTTGAATAAATTTATTTTCATTAAGCAATATATTGAATTCAGGGTCAAATTACGTTGAGACAAGCGGTACCGTATTTAAGGTTTGATTAACACACGAGCTTCTTATATTTATTTGAGTTGATTTACATCCGGGTTTCTTATATTTGAATGAGTTGATTTACATCCGGGCTTCTTATATTTGAATGAGTTGATTTACATCCGGGCTTCTTATATTTGAATGAGTTGATTTACATCCGGGCTACTTACCCTGGAACTCGGCGTCTAGTTCAATACTCATTGTAAGTGTATCTGTAAGTTGAACACTGCTGCCGGCAACGTCTATTCCGGAACGGTACAACTTCATGGAAGCTGTCGGCTTCACAGTCAGATTCTGACCGACATCATCGTCTTTGTCTCTGAAGGGCAAATTGAGCGAAAGCCACGTGACTTTATATTTAATTCAAAGGGCAAAGGTTATACACTTTCGTGACATCTTTATTATAAAGATCAAATATAAAACAATGTGAACATTGAATACCATGGTAAAGTTTATCTAAACATTTGTAATGAGTTTATAAATATAAATATGTTCGTGCGATATGATTGGTTGGTCGCCTTACAGAGCGTTCACGTTGTTGGCTACGGTAAGATCCGTGAGATCCATGATACACATGATCGGGATCTGTTTGTCGTCTCCGGTCTGATACAAAGCATTCTTCTGCACAATCATCTTAAAAGAACTCGCCTGCAAGTCGAACAGGAATGATTACGGAATATATTAGTTGTAGTTTCGCACTTTACAAGGACAGAATTTTATGCCCCTAATTAAGAATATCTTGCTCCTCAATTTAGACTTGTGATTCGAAAAAATGTTACTAACTTGTCAAGATAGTCATAATTCAGACTCAAAGAATGAAAAAAAAAAGAATTTACACGGAGACTGAAAAAGTACAAGGAGAATAAGACAAGGTGTTCCGGAAGAGAAAGCGTCTTCTACTTCGTCGTCGACACCAGCCAAATAAACCTTGGTCAATCCAAGTAGGTAATGTCACGTTCTCAAATGAAAACAAGATATACAACAACGGAACCAAAGGGCAAACTAACGAGCATCGTACACGTCCAGCTTCAGATTGGACAAAGATATAAAACATTTTCAATTAGACCATATATACAACGAACAGACGGTTAAAATGTTATACCTTATGTTAGAATGATTGTCACATACCCACGCTATACCACACGATGCGAAGTCAAATTCATGGACGGTTGAAGCAGAACTGGTTGTCTGTTTACAAGCGGATGTCTGTCCCTGGATGTAGATAATCCCGCCATCTGCTGCATTGTCTAATGTCAGTTGGAGGGTGCTGGCTGTACAGCTATTCACGGTCACTACAAGGGAGATAACTCGCATAACAAGGGGAGATAACACAGTGTTTATGTAAAATTGTTGTTTGAGGTATATCTGCTGAGAACAGAACAAGCTCTTGCACACGGGATGAGTATAACATTCATCTTAAAATCCCTTTGAAAGACAACTTTTTAACGTTACTACAAGGTAGATAACTTGTTTTTCTATGCTAAGACCTTATGAAGAAAGATACTAAACATTATTACAAGGGAGATAACACCTATTTTATCAGAAGACAGTTCAATGACTTACATTATATATCTTTCACATCTATGATGTTCATTATTTAGATGAAATCCAGGGGAAACAATTCAATGTACAAATGTATATTATTACAATTCGTTATGTCCACTGTCGTGATCGCGCGATGGATGGGACTTTTCAAGATGGCGGACCAACGTAACACGGGAGGTAAGCTCTGCGTTCAAACGGTAATATCCATAATTTATATACTATGATCATGACACATATTGTATCTGATTCGCAATCAGTGTTAATATTGCTGTACGTATCTATCTGGATGATGGTAAACTTAAAATGTAATGCAATCTCCGTGTAAACCTCGTCAACATGCCAATCTGTTGGATCCAAGCGGGTGTGAACTCAACTATCAGCCCTAGCTAAAACAATTGAATAAATTCAGAGAAAAAACACAGGAAATTTTGACCATGCGAAGGCTCGGTATCGGTGCATTTTGTGATCATGTTACTAAGGACCGAGCCATCGCATGGTTAAAACTTCCTGTGGTTTTTTTTTTACCAATCACGCTTCCCATTCCGTCAGAGAAGACACATTCCGTCAGAGAAGACACATTCCGTCTAGAAGACACATTCCGTCAGAGAAGACACATTCCGTCAGAGAAGATTGTCATTCGATTAGAGGCTTATCTAATCTTCAATTTAACATTAAAACTCTGACTGGATTTATTTGATTGTTTTAGCTAGGGCCAAAAGTTCAGCTCACATCCGCTTGGATCTATCAAATCGGCATGTTGACAAAGTCTGCACGCAGATTGCATTACATTTTAAGTTTATCATCATCCAGATAGATACGTACAACAATATTAACACTGTTTGCGAATCAGATACAATATGTGTCATGATCATAGTATATAAATTATGGATATTACCGTTTGAAAGCAGAGCTTACCTTCCGGTGTTACGTTGGTCCGCCATCTTGAAAAGTCCCATCCACCGCGCGATCACGACAGTGATGTCTTAGCCAAGTAAACAAACAATCAACGGTAAGCAAATCTCGTAAAAAGGGAGGTAACTCTGTGTTTACTTACAAGTGATTATGCATAGGTAATTACCTTTATCTTCGTAACAAAACGAGCGTATGATTTGAGGAGTCGCTGTATAAAACCCAGTGTTGATTATTAACTTATTTATCCGAAATAATCTTTATTTGATATTTTATAAGATTTTGATTTATCAATCAATTATTCAAATGTAACATATAACTTACGTGTGGGTGAAAATTGGGCTTGTCCAAGAGTTGCCAGTACAGCGATGATGACGAAAACGAAAGTCGATTCCATTCTGCTTTACAAAATACACATATAAGCAGGGAATCCAAAATGTTTATATTAATACTAACAAATACAAGTGGAAATAGTAAAATGTATTACAAACAATGCTAGGAATTATAAAAAGGAAACTTTTTCACAGAAGTTTGCTTAACGCCTTACATCAGTAATAACATTGTTATTAAATATAGAGTACGTTAGGTTGAACAAAAGACAAACAAGTGAATGGCACATTTAATACACATCTAGTTCTAATAGTGTCACGGATCTGAATATCCACATGTACTTCACACTGTTCTGAAATGGTACGATATTTGAAAATTACAAAATATATTTAATTATAGGACTGCTGCACCTCCCCGTCTAGATTTCGACTTTTCTTTTGATCACTTTGGATTTTCCTCAATCGCTTCCAAGGCTTCGAAATTTAGGCCCTTAACATCATTGACGAGTCCTAGGGGGACGGAACAGCTGTATGATGCAATTTAATTCATTGTTCGGCTTTTCGCTTGCGTGTCTTTTGAACAATCCTGACTGAAGTTGTTGTTGTTGTTGTTGTTGTTGTTGTTGTTGTTGTTGTTGTTGTTGTTGTTGTTGTTGTTGTTGTTGTTGTTGTTGTTGTTGTTGTTGTTGTTGTTGTTGTTGTTTGCGGTAGAACAATATACTAAACTACATAATACGTTGGATTAATTGTAATTAAAATTTGGTTCAGAATCACTACATCGAGGAATTAAACTTGACCCTTTTGACGAAAAATCATAAGAGCTCTTATTTATCAAAACTAATATAAACTTAGATCCTGCAACACATTTAAATTTATTAAACTAGATAAAGCTCGGATGAAATAGCTTTTGGTTTGACAAAACTCCGGTATGCCGTAAGATTAATTGCAGGAAATATTTTTGATATATCTATAAGTTATCAATACTTTGCAGTACATGAAATGACAATTTTCTATATTCAATTCTAAATTTGACTGTTTGTTTCTCTCTTCTTTTTAACTAAAGCTGATAGGAAATTCGTAAAATGTTAAACAAACATAAACGAACACGTAATAACATGAATTCATATGTAGAAAAAATATTCTTAACAAATTAAATTTGAAAAAAATGGCAAGAAATGATTTAGTAATCTTGTTGGAAAGAATTTGAGCTTAAAGAGGAAAATTGTACAAAAGACATACAAGTTAATAGCACCTTTTGGTACAAATTAAGAATGAGATAGAGTATATTACATTATACAGCTGTTTCGTCCTTCTAGGACTCGTCAGTAAAGTTACACGAAACAGTTGTTTCGTCCTTCTAGGACTTGTCAGTGATGCTACATCATACAGCTGTTTCGTCCGTGTAGGACTCGTCAGTGATTTTATATCATACAGCTGTTTCGTCCTTCTAGGACTCGTCTATGATTCTAAAGGCCTAAATTGTTATGCCTATGAAACGACGGAGTACAAAATTATAATCGGTGGCAAAGATGACTGAAACCTAGATAGGCATGTGCCGAGGAGACGACATCAGAAAATTTGAAGTGATGAAAGAAATTTCAAAATGGAGAAAGGGAGGTACAAAAGACCCATATATTGCATGTGTATATTTAAAATCGTACCGCTAATCGAATTAATTAAAACTTGATACGCAGGTTGAGACAAACCTGAAATAAGAATCACGCTGATAACAAATTACCTTTAATATAGGATCTTCCTGTCCAAGGTTGGTGAGAATTAAGGACTGGACAACCTGTTTAAGCTCGATCTGGGAGTTTGGCAGCAACTGTCGATAACAAATCATACCTCACTTTAAATACAACCTTATTGTCTAATTAAATAATACCATTAGTGACCTTTGTCTACAGAAAACTGATTTCATTAATGAGTTCTCGAGTATCTTATACATCAAGTCAGATCTCGTACTAATGAAATCAATGTTCTATTTCATTTACAGACATACGTGGGTGAAATACGATTTAGTGATAATATATGATGTTAAAGATTGTTAAGAAGCAACATTTCATTAATACTGTCGCGTTTTGGTGTTTTATAATGACATATTCTGTAATCATAGACGTTTTTGTGGGACTGAAATTTCGTGGTTGCGACACACACTGATACTTCGTTGCTTAATCAATTCGTGATAATTTTATTGGTGGATATTTACATATATTTATCCCGAAATGTATCTCTAAACACATCACTCATGATGACAATGTCAAATTTTATCTGAAAATATGGAAAGGAATTTTTGAATCTGTTACGGGTAAAGAATGATTGACCGATAATTTACTCCAAATGATAATTTTAAAAACGGAAAATTGAAAAAAAAAAATTAACTTCAAAATAGGAAAATTATATTTCTGCATTGTTTAATTTATCAATTATTATTAATCATTTATCAATTAAGTTTTTAAAAGGCTGACAATAATGATTAATAGATACTATTTAGCTTCAATACGTTTTAATCTTATCTTTGTTTAATTAACAAGAGGACGTTTTCTCAGAGTGTTTATATGTGAGATTTAACATCCACCTACTATCATTTCCACTTCTTGAGTAGGCAGTTTCACAATAAAACTGTAGTAAACGCTTGATATTACTGAGAATGACACAACAGTTATACAAATAAGTAATTTTGAAGAATGATTCGTCAGTATTTAATCTTTACAAAAAATGATTAATGTCTAGGTAGGGTTTTCATTCGAGACAGAAATTTGATTAAACAGCTAGACGAGCCAGAAAGAAAAGGTTTTTATGGATTATTGTGACGTTTAGAAATCGAATATAAACGGGGGAGGTCCGTATTTTTATCATTTATAGACAATCTAAATGATTTTAATACGGAAGCATGATCAGTTAGTATTTCGTGTTTGGAAAGATTGCATAATATAAAGGAACACTGACCTGTATTTTGTTTTTAGTTTAGATTTGCTAATCAGCGGAAGAATATAGAACGAGAAAAGCCGGCGGAGGCGCAGTTCTGAGTCAACAGTCGCTGCTGCGTTTGGTTATAGTTTTAAAGTTTGGATGTAATATATATTATCACTCACAAACACTAGATCTGATAGGAAATAGAACGAGGATCGATCTTATAATCTTACACCGACCTGTATCAGCCAGGTTCGTTTGGTGTGGATGTAACAGAATTAGTATTAATCAGACGATTAATATTCATGATATTACTTCATTAAGTAAGTCAATTTCATCAATGTAATAAACCATCTGGTCGTGTACTCTGGTTTTATAATCACATACTGATAACAAACTAAGGGAAGCGAAACCAAAATTATATGGCAAGGTTTACAAAAGTTATATTATCGCTGTGAAAGCAAGCAACATCAAGTTTTAATAAGATTGAATTCATATTTACTACAGAGGGAGAAGATTCAGGAATACTGTAAAATTACATGTTTTCGAGGGGTTTAATTTTCGTGGTGTTTCCAAAAATTGCTCTCTCCTGAAAATGCAGTCACGGATAGGTATGTCTCAATAGATATACGAATTTTAACAATTAGACATAGGATATTTTTAGTACGATCACCCCGAAATCAACGAAAATGAATAATCTACAAAGATAAAGATAAAAAGAGAATTTTAAAGTAAAATAGAAATAACAATGAGATCAATGTTGTTGAAATATAAGACTAATATATTGTTTACGTTTGCCTTGTAAAATTACAACAACATCAGAAAACCAGTAAATTGCGAGCCTGTTGTGACAGTTCTATACATTTCGGTCGAATGAATATGGCGCCCTGAAATATATCATTAGAATGTGTTATTTGTAAGTACAATGCAGTAACTCATAAAATATATAATAACTCCTTTTCTCCGGGAAAAAATCAAGGGATCTCAAATATTTAATGTAGGAGAGAAAAGTCCTTATTATATCTGAGAAACATGTACTTTGTGTCTTGTATTACGTTATCTATTCAGTACACAATATCACAAACATGTACCCTGTGTCTTGTATAACATTATCTATTCAGTACACAATATCACAAACATGTACTTTGTGTCTTGTATTACGTTATCTATTCAGTACACAATATCACAAACATGTCCCTTGTGTCTTGTATAACATTATCTATTTAGTACACAATATCACAAACATGTCCCTTGTGTCCTGTATAACATTATCTATTTAGTACACAATATCACAAACATGTACCCTGTGTCTTGTATAACATTATCTATTTAGTACACAATATCACAAACATGTCCCTTGTGTCCTGTATAACATTATCTATTTAGTACACAATATCACAAACATGTCCCTTGTGTCTTGTATAACATTATCTATTTAGTACACAATATAAGAAACATATGAGTGTCTCTACGAGAGAAACACTCACCAATATACAATGTATATATTTGTATTGAGAGTTGCTGATAATCTATATCGTTTGTATAACCCTTTATGTTTCTAGGTTTAGAAAAATTCCTGGATTCTGAAGCATGGATGGTATCATGGCTTTAGAATATCCGCACGCTCTTTCTTTTAAATTTAATCTGTATCATATCTTAACTTTACAATATTAAATTGGTTCATCGCCACCCGGTTTTAGAGCCTCTTTTGATACTTAATGCATTTTTTAATTTTCAATATTCTGACCCTAGCTTAAATATTAGGTTTTGAAAGAAACACACATAGATGTATGGTTACTTCATAACGAATCTCAATTAATTACTTTTACAAACAAAGGCATTGACAAATTGTGAGTTTAGGTATGTGGAAAGTGTATCCCCTGTTTCGACTGCGTTGAGAAGGAGCAGAATCTACATATAAACAAAACATTCTTAACATACAAAGTACTGTTATACACCTTCTCTCCCCCACCCACACCCCCTTAAGAAATAGGTCTTTAAAGAAACCAACAGCACAGCGGTACGAGGCATTTAAATTTTTCTACACTGTATCTAGTAATATATTTTTACTGACACTTATATCATCTAAATTCTTCATCTACCAATTGTCTATTCAGAAACTTATATAACAATTAATTAAGAAACGCAGCCAAGCAATCTCCATTGATATACCGAAACTAGGAACAGTAAATTTCTAAAACATCTTTTTTTTTCATATCTATCCAACATTCGTGACGATTTCCGATAATTCTTAAGAAAATTAAGTTAAAATGTAAATCTAAATTTCATGACTAGGATCATTGGTTTACTCGATGGCCCACGCCAAGGGGACATAATTCGGGACAAACTATCAATAGATTCACAAATTACTTGAAAATGATGTACAAAATTATAGAAACTGAAGTAATAAATGTTGTTATAACAACAGGTTGGAGTTAATTTTCCTTTAATTCTCTAAACTTGTTTACATTTGTTTGATTTTCTATCCTACTGCCACCTTGTAAATGTAACGTGTGTTTAATCAAATGTTTGGAAAGGGCTTTAGATAAGTTGTAAAACTAGTGCCCAATTCTATTGCTACTTATGTGCAATAAAACATGTTTATATACTTAAGTTATCATTTTGCTGACATGAGGGTATTTTTTGTTGTTTTCGTTTTGCTTTTACGCGACCAGAAGTAACAATCTTACCTTCTGTATCCATGATGACGTAATTCTGCGAAAGATGACGATACAATATATTGATTTGATCGGTCGGTGTGTGGTTTCCGATTGGATAACGTCATAATTACAGGTAAATACAGGTAATAGTTAATGAACTTATCACTTCTTTACATAATCGCTGGTAACTTTATCTTCTAATTAGTCAGAAATTAGGTATAAAACGTAGGTAGGTCTTGTTGTCAAATGCAGCCAAACTCCTGAACGCGCGTGCCAGGTCGCCTAGTTTCGGAAAACACGACTTAAGGTATGTTATAGCCTTTTTTACATTTGGTTATGTGGTTAACTATGAGAAAACAAGCTTTAGAAAAATCAATTTTAAAAATAGATTATATTCTGCTTCCTCCATTTCCGTATGATATTCTTTTTACACATAGATAAATTTCTGGTTTATTTTCATTTATTCATTTATTGATTATCTCTTCTTTAAAAGAAGTTTTAAGAAAAAGAAATATTCTTTACCGTAATTAAAGCATTTGAGTCTTTACTCAGAACATAATTCATTACTTCCTTTCCTGTGAGAAATAATAACTTAGTGTTGCTAGCCAATCGAAAGTCACGTAACAAACAATGACGCTATTTCTGAATGGATAAAAATATGAACTCTTAGCCAATAGAAACCCTTCTTTCAAAACGTTATTAATATTAATATACGACAATTAGTTCATGTAATCATTTTGAATTGATTGAACCAATTCTTATTAAGATGGGTTATATTTCTACCATCGGGGTAATTAATCCATAATTAACATTTTGATTAAATTTTGATTCAGGATTTTAAACATTTGATTAAGTGTTAAATATTCATGATTTATAACAGAAGTACGTGTATAATTGTACCGTTATATTTTGGGTTCTGTACTAAAAAACTAGCTCCACAAAAATTGAAATTCAAACATACCTGATCAAACTGAGATGATTTTTTTTCATTTGGTGCTACTCACACAGTCATAGAGAAAAAAGTTTCCAAGTTCCAGTACATTGTATTACAGAATGCGGTTGATATCGGCTCTCATTTTCATCGCCTTACACACAAATCATGGTCACGCCCAGTTTTCGCCCACACGTAAGTGTAATTAATAGATACAAATATCAATTTTTAAATGTCAAATATATGGTCTCTCATTGATCTGAGTAGTTTTGTCAAATTTATACATTTTATTTTTTTTCTTATTGAAGACGATCCCGTCACCAAATATATAAGTTGTCTAAATACGGCCCTTCAGGGGTTTTTTTTATGCAATTAAAGATTGTAGAAGATATTGCATACAATTCAGAATATATTGCCAGCATGACAGATTATTGGTAGATTTTCAGTTTGTAAACTTTGAATTATCTCCCTTCATACGAGTGTTACCTCCCTTCAATTCACGCACAGTAATACCAATCTCTCCCACAATGCATTGCGGTACCCCAATAACACCTCTGTAAACGGCTCACTCCATTTTAGGATTCTTGAAAAAAGTATTTGTGTCCAGTGATAAAGTGTTTCATATTTTTTCTGGTTTTTTTTATTTGTATTGTCATTTTGAAAATAGATTTTTTTCATGGGGAAAATCACTCCATTTGTTTATATGGTTATAAACGTTCATTATTATTTCGCGGAAGATAAAATTTGAGTAAACAGTCACCAACCGTCTTGTTTACATTTTGTTCTTGAGACACATGTTGATATACTGTAACATCAATGATAATTCGTGGTAATTAGACTGCAGTATTACTGACACATAACATCTCAAAAATCCCAAATGTGTTTTACCATTGATCGATAGTAAACAAAACAGTTTACACCTTTCGTTGGCGTTGTCATGGATGGTGCCATTGTTTTGCACGACGTTAACCTTTGAACCTGACCGCGATGTCAACTATTAATAGCCCGTGAGCCTTTAACAGAGACTGTAAAGGAACGACAAATGTGAATGAGATTGACAGCAATACGTCATGTATTTAGGAATCGCGATTAATATTACATAGATTGTCTCCCCTTGGTTATTTCATAAGCGAGCATAACCTCTCTCGTTAACTAATAGGGGGAAATTATATATAGAAGTCAATTCATAAACCAGCTATCACGACACACCTTAAAATTGAATATAATTCTGTATCATACGAGTTACCTCCCTTAAAGTAAAGTCGAACATTTTCCTATTAAATAACATAGATGATAGTTGTACATTTCATCCTACATATTCATCACGTATTGTCACCCTTTGTCCTTTTTTATAATATATATATTATCTCATTTCGTGGACCTGTGATTTGTCGGACATATGTTACTCTGAGTTATCTATCGATATTTTACGAGTTACCTCCCTTTCAGTAACGGTGAACAGCTGTACAGCTAGTAAGCTCCGACTGACATTAAACAACGCTGCAAATGGTGGAATTATCTACATCCAGGGACAGACGTCCGCGTGCAAACAGACAACCCAATTTGCTGTGACCGTCCACGAGTTCGACTTCGCCTCGTGTGGTATAACATGGGTACAAATCACTCATACAAGATCAATAATTTCATATGAAACATTGAGAACAAGCGATAAAGTGATAAATAATGACACTCATTCTCAATCAAGCCTGACAGACAACAATAAATGTGCTGTCATTTTAAAGTCTGTATTCCGAATGTCAAACTTACTGCATGACAGAGGTTAAAGGTCAAATTACGACGTGTAAGAGGTAAAAGGTCAAACTTACAAATTCCAGTGACTACTGACTCACTTTGTTGATAATCTTTTCCGTCTCTTTTCCGTGATTTTTTTCGATAAATCGAATAATGTACAGCTGGCACAGAAGTAAAACTATCCTTGAAAGATCAAATAGATTTTTATCATGTTTTGTTTTAATTTTGTTTTCGGTAGGCGAGTTCCTTTAAAATGATTGTGCAGAAGAATGCTTTGTATCAGACCGGAGACGACAAACAGATCCCGATCATGTGTATCATGGATCTCACGGATCTGACTGTAGGCAATGACGTCAATACCTTGTAAGCCAATCAGAAATAACTACCATACATTATGCAAATAACCATTCTGTCGTAACCAATCAACTTTCAGGTACATTTATGTAAATAATATTTCTGTCGTAGCCAATCATCTCCTAAATATATTTATCACTTCCGGTTCCATTATTCTTAAATAGAATACAATATTTATAACAAAACGTGATATTTTTTCTTACTGCACTAAAGTTAGGTTATATATGCTCCAATGGATATAAGGTAACAGTGGTAATTCAAATGGAACGCCTCCCACCCATGTCCGACTTTTTTCATCGTTTTTTTCTTGATCTTTGATTATTTTTGTTGAATCAGTATAGATAAATTGGAGTCTCCACCTAAATTCTAAATCTTTGATCCCCCAGTTTTATCATAGTATAAATTTCTTTGGCATGTTCTTTTTATTTTATTTTTTAGAAGCTGTTTGGTAAGGGTTTTTTTTTTATATCTTTGTTATTTTTTTCTTAAAATGATGTCACGTGACTTTTTTCTTAATTTATCAGGGACAAAGATGACGACGCTGGACAAAATTTGACGGTGAAGCCGACAGCCTCTATGAAGATATACAGATCTGGATTAGATGTTGGTGGAAGTAGTGTTCAGCTGACTGATGAAATCACTATGATCGTTGAACTTGACGCTGAGTACAAAGGTTTGTTACCCGGATGTTGCTACATCTTTCGAGTTCAATACAAAGATATCCTGGATGTACCTCGACACTTTGATAATTCCGGGAAACTTTCTTCTGAACCAACAAAATTCCCCCCTCCCCCCCCCCCCCCAAAAAAAAAAAAAAAAAAAAACAAAAAAACAAAACGAAAACGAAAATAAAACAAATGTTTCTTTCGTTTAGATTTGACGTATTTATTGGAGTAGAGAGCGTGGATAACACTTCTATAACCTGTGTCCATTGTTTTTGGTAAATAAAAAATGTTTAGACTTTCAAAAGTAGAATATAATTTATTAAAGTATTATTTTTTTTATTTTAAAAGTGATCCCAATTGCCTTCTATTCTTTGTATCGTTTTCTGTCTGATCGCAAAAACAAGAAAACAACAAACATGTCCTTTTTATCTACAGCTGACTTCGACATTGTCGCTAAGGATTGCTCGGCGTCGACAATACCCATCGTTCAATCTGCGTAAGTCTCATTTTATTTTATTATCGATAATGAAGTTTTTCCCGATATCAGGACCGATTTATCGCTCCATTCTTATCAATGTTTTATTGGAATATTGACCAAAATATCCGGATGAAAAACACATGAAACTACATAAACATGTGCTAACATAAAACAGGCAAAATGTTACCTACCTGATTCGTGTCGGTGTTTCCATATACCGCAAAATTTTCATGTGTCAAAATTTTCGCGATTTTTTTTAAACGTATGAATTATATAAGTGAAATTGTATGCATCATCCCCGCGAAAATAAATAGTTATACGGTAAAACATTTGCCAAATTCTTTTATGATAAAATAGAAACTCAAGTTTTTTCTTATTGTTTACTTCACCCACGAATTAATGAAAAGAAAGACATGAACTTTAGTAAAAGCGGATTTCGTGAGTGTTATTCATGGAGGAAATTAAGTGCCAACAAAAACATAATAATTTTACATACAAAACATATTTTCAATCCATTCAACTGAATAATCTTCAGATGCGCCGCCGATACTGCCCTGTTTCCAGATTTCACCAAGCCTGCTCCGGGTTACCTTTCCAATAGCTTTGGGGCCTTCAGAACGACTGATCTCAACGGGGGATCAGTTGCCATGACATTCTCGTGCACACTGACCGTGTGTCAGGGATCTTGTGCACCCGTATGTATATATATATCAACTTACATAAAATTAACTTATTACGATAACTGAACCAGAAACATTTCTATTGTACATAACATTTGATTTTTTTTTCTCGTCGGAGCTTAAATTTGTTTTTTCGCGGTGCTATGGTGTTACGGACAGCGGACTGATCACTGAAATTGTCAACTTAATCTCTTTATTGTTAAAAAATTATTTCTACAAAGTTGAAATCTGGATATTTTACTTACAAAATTTTACACTCTACATAGGCTTGTCAATATCATTGTTACCATTTACTAGAGAAATCAACAGAAATTTATTGATCAATCGATTGTTTGAAGGAAAGAACAAAAGTTTTTGTTTTAATGATATTTCAGCTGTCTTAGAATCAGAATAATGTCAGGATTTTGTCAGGTTGATTTTATTCATAGAAAAACTGAAAGTATAATTTCATAAACAAACGAAATATCAACAAGTTTATATAATCGTGTCCAAAAAACAATAAATCGAGGACAAAACACGAAAAACAAGAAAACAAAATTACACAAGTTTGCTGTATGAGTACAAAGGGAACCCTCGCTAAGGGTTTTCGTTTCCTTCAATTCGAAACGTGTTGTTTACAAATCTTCAGCTTTGTAGAAAAGCTGTCATTTCAATATACAGCAACATAATCAATTATTTTAATGGATCCTATACATGTTCCTGTCTCTAATTATCTATCTCCGAAAAATGTTAATTTTGGTCAGGGAAAGTTTCTTTATATTGTAATATATGGTTACTTAAGTCCAATTATTATTCTTTTTAATAATAATAATATAATATAACATATACACGATATTTATTTTAGACAGTTATTTCTGACTCTACAATTCCTGTTTGTATTTTGATTCCTCTGTATAGTACTGATAAATAAATATCGGACCCATTTATCATACCTAGGCAACGTGTCCCAGTGGTAACGGGTATGGTCGTAAAAAGAGAGGGATCTCGAAGAGACAAGCCAGTCCCACTCCCGCCATTGACGACATCAGTGTTGGTACCACCGTTACCATAGCAACAGAGGAAGTCATCCTTCAGAGTACGTGTTATTGTTAGTTTCTGAAAAGTTAGTTCAAACTCTCGCGAGGGGCCTTAGTGTGGGAGGATACCGGAGTACCCGGGTAAAACCCATACCTTTTCACATCCATTCCGGGAATCGAACCCCGGACAGCTAGGTGAAAGACGAGCGCCACCTGACCACCCACATCATTATGTTTTCACGGGAATAATGAAACAGGCCATTATCGTTGATTTAATATTATTTAGTTAGATATGTTTTTATTTAATGTTATTTGATAGGCTTTATGAAACAGACTATAACTGTTTGAATTTTGGTTGATTTTGTTCACGTAAATCACGATTTAATGATATTATTTAGTTAGAGATCTTTATCTTATGTCTAGCTTCGTCTCATCAAAAATGCATTCTGTTATTAAAGTTCTTAGATCAAATTCCTACGATTTACAATTAAATTTTCATTTTTGATGGGTGCCAAATACCATAAACGGACTCGTCAGTGATGCTATATCATACAGCTATTTCGTCCTTCAAGGACTCGTCAGTGATGCTATATCATACAGCTGTTTCGTCCTTCAAGGACTCGTCAGTGATGCTATATCATACAGCTATTTCGTCCTTCAAGGACTCGTCAGTGATGCTATATCATACAGCTGTTTCGTCCTTCGTGGACTCGTCAGTGATGTTACATCATACAGCTGTTTCGTTCTTCTATCACTCGTCAGTGATGTTACATCATACAGCTTTTTCGTCTTTCTATCACTCGTCAGTGATGCTTCATCATACAGCTGTTTCGTCCGTCTAGGACTCGTCAGTGATGCTACATCATACAGCTGTATCGTCCTTCAAGGACTCGTCAGTGATGTTACATCATACAGCTGTTTCGTTCTTCTATCACTCGTCAGTAATGCTACATCATACAGATGTTTCGTCCTTCGTGGACTCGTCAGTGATGTTACATCATACAGCTGTTTCGTTCTTCTATCACTCGTCAGTAATGCTACATCATACAGATGTTTCGTTCTTCTATCACTCGTCAGTGATGCTATATCATACAGCTGTTTCGTCCTTCGTGGACTCGTCAGTGATGTTACATCATACAGCTGTATCGTTCTTCTATCACTCGTCAGTGATGTTACATCATACAGCTGTTTCGTTCTTCTATCACTCGTCAGTAATGCTACATCATACAGATGTTTCGTCCTTCAAGGACTCGTCAGCGATGTTACATCATACAGCAGTTTCATCCTTCTAGGACTCTCTCCAATATTAAGTTCCAGTGTATCCAAGTCTCTTGAAAGCAGTTATTCACTTGCTTGTCTTTTGTACAACCGCTAAAAGTTTACATATCGAATAGGTCAACTTTGACATGACAGAGGTCACGACAAGTCAAAGATGAAAGGTCAGACTTACTAATGCCAGAGTTTGTTAACGTTTTTAATAATTTTCCCTTCTGTGATTATTTTATACATGTTTCAGGTCCGGACAGAGAATCTGATGTTTGTATGAACAAGGGAGGTTTCATTGCCGGTGTCATCACTGTTCTAGTTGTACTGACTGTTGTATTGGTGATCATAGTCTATATTACAAGGAAATTCCAGGAGAGCAAAGACGTCGTCGGTAAACTTAATGGAAGTGCATGAGTCACAATGAGTGAACTTTGAACCCCGATGACCTTTACCTAAGTTTATCATATTAAAACATTTCATGTGTATTAAGTTTTTTTGTTATCGTTTACACTACAAATAACATAACCTGAAGTATTTTTTTTAAATTTCCATTGCCGGTGACCTTTCCGTGAGATGCGTGCCAAACTATAGATATGTGAGGATCGAAGACGTCGTTTGTCAAAATATACAACGTTCTGGTCACAAAACTTACTGTACAGGCTACGTTTTCTTAGATGCCTCAAATATGAGCAGAAACAAAAACAAACAAACAAACAACAAAACAAAAAGCAAAAAAAATCCAAAGAAACAAAAAAAAACCACACATACAGAAAATACAAAATTAAAGATAAATAAATAAATAGATATAAATATGTATTTTAACAAAACAAAATAATGGTATTTTCTACGGTTCTTTATTCTCACGATTTCATTCCATCGTCGACAGCAGCGACAATTCTCGAAAATAATTGACAGAGCCTTGAATGCTGAACTGCTATTCCAGTTTGATGGCGGCCTAGACTCGCACGTGTCATCTTCCAGGCCGGATGTGAGAGTGTTGTAACAGTTAAAGAAAATGGCCAACAGATTGTAATTACACTAGCAGACAATACTGTACTAAATGACTTTCATACCACCGAGAATCTTTCTCTGCGACATGAAAACAGAACAATTATACATTTTTCTCGAGTGCTATTTTCTGTATTTCTTTTGAGAATCCCGCGTCTGGCCTTGAATCTGACCCATGCATTTCAGGATTTATAAACTTGATTTCTGTAGACCGAAACACTGTAAAATTTGTTATATCAAGTCGCAAAACGCAGGTCATTATATGTGTACATGTCGACAGTGTCATTTGACTAGCCCTTAGCGCCGACTTTGTTTTCCATATCAGAATATTTTTGACGTTCGTGCAGAGTTACCTCCCCGCACGGAGCTTTCCTACTTGATTTTATTTTTATGTAAGCATGGCGGGTATTACGCGCACCTCACGGAAAGAAATTGCTTACAGGGGAACTGTGGTGAGTTCTTATGCGTAAGTAATAGTTCTTTTTGTATTATATTAATATTATTTAATTGATGAAATGGTGCTTGAGCTGTAGTTTTTAGAGATCGCGTAGTATCGTTGTAGAATTTTATGGAAGCGCACTGCAACCGGTGCAAGGGAAATTTTAACCCATTTAAACATGCCAAGAGAATCATTTAGCAAAAGTAATTTTAAATGTTAATTATTAACAGGGATAATATCAATTTTATTTTTATTTATTTATATATATTTGTTTATTTTTTATTTATCGAAAAACACATGAGGAATAAATAGATTCATATATACTATCAGTCTATAACTCCCATCGTCACACACTTACAGAGTATAGTCATGCATCATTTTCACCACTAAACACACAGCATTTTGAGTTGCACACTATATCTTAACTATCATAGACACTATGTAACACAATCACTCTAAACATATATTTATAACTTGCAGCCATACTAGCACTCCAGCATTGTTACATATACAAACAACATCAGCATCTGACATCAACGTCATCATATACAATCATCATCCTCGTCTCACATTAGCATCATCACATACCATCAGCATCATTATGGTCACCTATCAACATTAGCATCATCACACTTCAGCAGCATTACACATCCGCATTATCACATACCAAATCAGCATCGTCACACCTCAACATCATCATATATACCAACATCAGCAGCATCACACAGCAGCATCACACATCCTCATTATCAGCTTCTTCACACACTTTAACTTCCATGCATAAGGATGCTGCAGATTCTTAGACACAGTCAACATCATTATCTTCATCATCAAGCACACATAGACATGCTAATTTCAGTAATTTCTCCATAAACTAGTATGGACTCATAATAAGTGAGCAACTGACAGCTGTCGCTATATCACTATAAGATAAATGTTCCTAGATATAATGAAATAGACAAATAAAAAACAAAACATGTGATGATTTTTTTTATAATTCTTTAAACAGCAGACAACTATTAGCTGTTAATAATAAATGTAAATCAATATCAGAAATACTGTCAGTTCTTACCATTGCTTGTGAAGTGATTGATTCTAAGGTGACCGATAAGGCCCATGGGCCTCTTGTTTCTAATCTTAAATTAATTTTTCAATGTATTTTTATGCACAATATGCGTACCTCAAGTGATTTTGCTTATTATTTTAGATTTATGATCTTTACATTTATTTACTTCTTTTTTTTGTTTGATATTTATGTATTTTATACATCCGTCAAATGACAGGACATATTATGGTATTCTCGTCTTCCATCCGTCCATCTTCCGTCCGTATGTCCCTCTGTTCGTAAACATTTCAATGTCCCAGCGATTTTGGAATTTATTAAGCCTTAACAGATTTCTTTTAACTCTCATTGCAAGCTTAAGTACAATCAAAGCTAGATTGAGTTTGATTTCCATGATTTTTGATCCACAACTTTTAGAGTTACGGCCCATTAATGTCTGTAACCTTTTCAATGTCGGTGCAATAACTTTGCAAAGTATTACGCAATTACCATTGAAACAAATGCAATATATTATATACAGCATAAATAGTGTAGGTGATAGTCAGACAAAATCACAGGCGTATTTCGTGACCTGAAACAGGCTCTTGTTTTTTTTTTTTTTTTTCGTGGGACAAATTAAAATGATTGTTCAATATATGAATATTGTCAGCATTCCATTATACCTTCATAGATCCCTATTAGGATAAACTGACGGGACAGAGCTTGTTTGTTACACTATCAGAATAATGTAAATCACTCATACTGGTGGAGGAATTACAGTGATTCTAGCATTAAGTTGTATGGTTGCCAATTTATTTGCAGATAAGTCAATACCATTATTACTATTGCAGCCATGGTCTTTTGATGGCGTCGTTAACTTCACCTTGTCAGAATATCCTAATGGGGCAATATTTTGTACATCATGTGAGAAAAAAAAACATATTTACAAAATTAATAACCAGAAGTAGCAAAATCACAGGGACTTTTCGAAATTATTTTTATTATCTTAATTATCTAGACAAGCCATTGTGGCTACATATAAATATGCAAGTGTTTCTGACTTCGTTTTAAATAAAAAAAATAGTTGTGGAGTGATGGCTTTTGATAATGGATATATGTATATCTAGTTTTGATATATGCTTTATTTGACAAGGAATGTCAATTTATTGTTGTTAATAAAGTTACTGTTTCAATTTTGTTGTCATTGGTCCGTTTTTCCTTGGCCCGGAACTATTTCTGAAGGCGTCTATTTGCATCAACACTGCATCGTCATGCCGGTAATTACGGGCTTAAAATAGATTTTCTGTTGACCAATTTCATTTGACAGATGGGATTAAATCCCTAATGCGTCATATCGAGCGTAATAGCTTATTGGATAAATATTTATAGCAACCTATATTGAACTTGGGGAAACCCGTTCGTCCGCCATGGTGTTTCACGTTGTAATAGCAGCAAGCTGCAAGATGAACTCGAGTAATTTTACGGATGTTTCCTTTGATTACTTTTCATTATAACTACTGGAGCATGCATAAAACATCCTTGTGTCGTTGTCACGAAATGTAATAGATGTAGCAACAACCATTTGTACCTTAACTTTAATAAAAACATGCCAAATGTCGTATCTTTCTAATGGGAAGCCTGTTACGACGGAGATGTGAAGGGGACGTAACTCTTGGCGAACGACTACTATGTTCTGATATGTTATTCATTATATCAGCATCCCTTTGTCTTTCTGTTGTTTGTACCTTTCTTTTTCACTGTCCTTTTTCTTCTTTAATTAAAATTTGAAAATTTCATTTATGTACTGATTGATTTAGACCATTGCTTAGCTGTGCATGTGTACAATTGTATTATGGAGAGGACATTAATAAGTTGTGACAACTTGCGTCCGATCCTTTTGTGTAATATCTATGCAATAACATTGATTTAAATTAAAAAATGCTGGGGAGACCAATTTCAGTTTTGTGTATGTTGTAAAATCCTTAATTTTCGTGAAGGTTTTATTTTGATCGATTTTGTCGAAACTCTTCATCCATGCGTTCATGTGTCACCGAAGCAAGTATAAAGAGATTTAATAACTTATATTCGTCACGAAACCAAGTGTCCATAAAAACATTATCTATGTATCAGGTGAAATCGTTTTGATACCAGAGGAAATAATCAGTTACGTCCCTTGATTCTAAAAATAGATATAGCTCTAATGCTGAATACTTTGATTTGGGGATACCTATCTAATTGATGGTCTAGTGTAACTTCACTGATTGGTTACCCTGACTGACCAATCACTCTGACCGATACATCAGCATTTCAGCGTTTCCGACTTACAAATTTATTGTGATGTAAGAGCGGTTTACAAGAGAAGTAAAATTAATGGGTTTTCGGATTTAAATGAAATCTTAAAAGCGTTGAACATTCTCTCCTAAGACACCTCTATTTCCTTTGGATTTGTCACTGTGTTTTCTTCAATACCTCTTTCCAAACAGGTGGAACGCCCACACTCTCTAGTTGTGGTAAATTTCATTTCAAAAGAAAGAAGACTCAAAAATATTTGAAAAACTTTTTTTAGTTTTTTTATCATCTGAACAAAAACACAAAAGACATGAAAATCCTCTGTGCTGTTTTAGTTACAGGCACACTGAGGACAGCCATCAGATCCCAGCAAGTTTCCACTGGGACAGTATATCATACACATCACCTGTGGACAAGCTTTCGCTGTTGTCAGCTTCGACAACTCAGGGGCAGGATCTGGAACAGAAAATACTCCCTATTGCCGAGGTTTGCCATAACTGCATGCCATTTTAATGATTTCGATTAGTGCCACGGTTACGGTTAGGTTTTAGATTGGGACGAACAGTTTCAGAATTTACACATGACCCGGATGACGCTTGAAATATATTAGATATACGAAAATTACGGCTGGTGTAACTCTCCACTTCACGTGGTAACGTGGTGACGAATAAGTCACGTGATTAATGTGGCTTCGCCCACCCGTGATGACGTAACAAAAAAACAAGATGTGCAAGGGACCGAATTGCACCTGAGATAAAATTGATATGCCAATCACAGCCAATCACAGCTCGAGAATTAACTATGTTTCTATTATTACTCTCAACTAAGAAACCTACGTAACTGTGATAGAAATAAATGATAGCAGAATGTGTCCAATTTTATCTCCCGTGGGGGTTATGACTCTAGACCTACTTTTAAATAATCTTATCTTTTTTACTCCGTGACTTGTCTCTAACAGCTGTTAGGAATTGATAGCATGCAGTTGAAATATCTGTAATAATGCTGATGGTTTGTCGAGCTGCCAATAATTATATCTCCTTATATGGTATTTCCATATTAGTTATAACCATGTGTAATCTAAGCGTCATTTTAAATATATTGCTATTGTTTGTTGTACATTCACTGGATCATAATGGTTTCTGATTTAAATGCCCCAAATAGCGAATTCGGAAAAAAATTACATATTTTGAATTTCGATTGAAGTCAAATTCTAAAATATCAATTATCAAAGTTGCTAACCATATAATTTGCTTGTGTTTTCCCACTCTCCCCCCCCCCCCCCTCATTTAACTTCAGAAATGTTTTAATGAGAACGAGGCTTCTGTGATGACGTCATACTTACTACACTTGCATAGGGGACAACCGTTGTCGTTTAGCACATTGCCGTATGGACAGTACATCATACACATTGGACCACACAACACAGCATCGATATTGGCGCCTGAACAGAGAAATTACGTTTCATTGTCTTCAGAGACCGGAAATGACGTCGATGTTTTTTTCGTTTGAGATGTTACTATCTTACAAAATGTTAAAATTGATTGAATTATTAAAGATGAGGGTGGCATTCTTAATAGAGATGAACAGCGGTGCATACTACACAAATATGTAGTTTTCGTTTTGAATTCACTATCCAAACTTTACCTCATTCATGTCGAAACAAAATATTTCCAGTTAACATTTTAAGATATTACGAGCTTACAAGGGAATATATGTAAATAGGAAATTAAATACTTAACCAATGTCTACCTTCTGGTCATCACGTGACATTACCCCAAATGATGATATCAATAATATTTGTAAATATATATATAATATCTAAACATTAACAAAAGGAGAGGCTTTAGAGCAATTATAGAAAATTGTGTTAAGAATACCGTCTCATCGTGAATTTGCATTAAAGAGTTCATTAACGAGTGTGTGTTTTGTACAGTCGTTGATTCTGCAGGTAGTAGACACTGCTGATGGACCTGTCATCTCCAAGGATTGCCACCTTTGAATTCTTACATATTTACTTGACGTTTTTCTGATATCACTAGATGTATGGAAAGTTCTAGATTCATTGAAGTTTATGTAGTTGAGGGACTAATGTACTTCAACATCTAAAGTTTGACATTTCTTTCGATCAATTTTGATTTTCTCCAGTCGCCTTCTTGGATTCCAAATTTAAGTCATTGGCATCAGTGACTAATTTAAGGAGGCAACTGAAGTATGATGCCCCCCATTACCCCCACAGTCACAAGCCACAGTTGACCGGTTAGGTGATCAATCGAAAAATGATAAAGTCCTGCACACCGTCTTTCATAAACAAACACTCATGTAACGTTTCGTTTAAAATTCCATTCAGTAGTTGTCGAGAAACGTGATGGAAACCTCGCCGACAGAGGAAGAGAAACGAGGAGAAGAAGAAGAAGAAAAATGAAGAAGAAATGGAGTCCCCAATATCGTTTTATGGGACATAAATATAAAGAAAGATAAACATACTTTCAAGCATTGTGAGAATTGTTACTTACCGTAGACACAGGCCAGACCGGCCACAAGGAGAAGAGGTAACAAAGAGTTCATGCTGTCTGTTGTTATATTGCCAGAATTTTAGTGAGTGTTCCAAGGTTGGCTCAAGCTATTATACTCCCAATGTTTGTAACCTCTGTGGGGTCATCGAACAAGGCATGGCGCCATTCCTAGTCATCTTTACACAGACTATAGTCTTACATGTTTTTGTTTTTATTTTGTTTCAATAATGTACTTGTTTATGATTTCTGTTGATATATACAACAAAAATTTTTTGTAGAAAGTATATTTATTTATTGAATATTTCATAGTGAAGGACAGACGGCAAAAACTAAGTCAAATTGCCAGTACGAAGTACTGCTTTATCTTCGTAAAATTTTTAAGTTTCGCATGCTGGGCTCATTTTTCTGTGTTTCTATCGAAATAATATCTTTACTTGTGGTAATTACAGATTACAGAATCAATGTTTAATGTATTTCACTTGCTTTGAATAAACATGAAGATGATATTCTCAATATCAAACAGATTTTATTTAAATTCAAAATCAGATTTTTTAGTCAAAATTAATTATAGATAAATTCTGCATTAATCATTTATCGTTTTATAAGATGTGTTATTGTCCTGAGATCAATATTCAATAAAAGATTCAAGATTCTGATATTTATGTATTACGATTTTGTAATACAGCAGACATTTTTTTCGTAAACTTTAATTTTGTCATTTAATGTCAAGTTAACAATGCCGAAGGCCTTCTGCAGATAAGGTGATCACGTGACCACTGCTCACACCTGCTAACATCTGGAATATTCCACTGAGCTTATTTGCACTTCTCGTCATCAAGGTGTGGAGTCACGTGATCCTTACGGTCGTCCGCAAGTCGAATCGTTTTAGGTGTAGGTATTCTGTACTTATTAAACCCACAACAAATCAGATCTTTGACCGGACATATGATCTGTTCCTGGAGATTATATAGCAACATATTGCAATATTATATATGTGTTGGAGAAAAGCAGATTTCGCTCATTTTGTCACCACTTTTATTTCATGCAAAACTTTAGAGTTTGAATGAAACTGATGTACGTACGGGTTTGGAGTAGAGGCGAAACGGTACAAGTGTTTCTTATAATTTTGGAGAGTTTAGATGAAACTGATGTACGTACGGGTTTGGAGTAGAGGCGAAACGGTACAAGTGTTTCTTATAATTTTGGAGAGTTTGGATGAAACTGATGTACGTACGGGTTTGGAGTAGAGGCGAAACGGTACAAAAGTTTCTTATAATTTTAGAGAGTTTGGATGAAATTGATGTACGTACGGGTTTGGAGTAGAGGCGAAACGGTCCAAGTGTTTCTTATAATTGTAGAGAGATTGGATGAAATTGATGTACGAACGGGTTTGGAGTAGAGGCGAAACGGTACAAGTGTTTCTTATAGTTTTGGAGAGTGAATGAAATTGATGTACGAACGGGTTTGGAGTAGAGGCGAAACGGTACAAGTGTTTCTTATAATTGTAGAGAGATTGGATGAAATTGATGTACGTACGGGTTTGGAGTAGAGGCGAAACGGTCCAAGTGTTTCTTATAATTGTAGAGAGATTGGATGAAATTGATGTACGAACGGGTTTGGAGTAGAGGCGAAACGGTACAAGTGTTTCTTATAATTTTGGAGAGTGAATGAAATTGATGTACGTACGGGTTTGGAGTAGAGGCGAAACGGTACAAGTGTTTCTTATAATTTTGGAGAGTGAATGAAATTGATGTACGTACGGGTTTGGAGTAGAGGCGAAACGGTGCAAGCATTTTGCTTATAATTTTGGAGAGTGAATGAAATTGATGTACGTACGGGTTTGGAGTAGAGGCGAAACGGTGCAAGTGTTTGTCATAATTTTGGAGAGTGAATGAAATTGATGTACGTACGGGTTTGGAGTAGAGGCGAAACGGTGCAAGCATTTTTCTTATAATTTTGGAGAGTGAATGAAATTGATGTACGTACGGGTTTGGAGTAGAGGCGAAACGGTACACGTGTTTCTTATAATTTTGGAAAGTTTGGATGAAATTGATGTACGCACGGGTTTGGAGTAGAGGCGAAACGGTACACGTGTTTCTTATAATTTTGGAGAGTGAATGAAATTGATGTACATACGGGTTTGGAGTAGAGGCGAAACGGTGCAAGTGTTTGTCATAATTTTGGAGAGTGAATGAAATTGATGTACGTAGGGGTTTGGAGTAGAGGCGAAACGGTGCAAGTGTTTGTCATAATTTTGGAGAGTGAATGAAATTGATGTACGTACGGGTTTGGAGTAGAGGCGAAACGGTACAAGAGTTTGTCATAATTTTGGAGAGTGAATGAAATTGATGTACGTACGGGTTTGGAGTAGAGGCGAAACGGTACAAGTGTTTGTAATTTTGATTTGTACGTACGGGTTTGGAGTTGAGGCGAAACGGTACACGTGTTTCTTATATTTTTGGAGAGTGAATGAAATTGATGTACGTACGGGTTTGGAGTAGAGGCGAAACGGTACAAGTGTTTCTTATAATTTTGGAGAGTGAATGAAATTGATGTACGTACGGGTTTGGAGTAGAGGCGAAACGGTACAAGTGTTTCTTATAATTTTGGAGAGTGAATGAAATTGATGTACGTACGGGTTTGGAGTAGAGGCGAAACGGTACAAGTGTTTCTTATAATTTTGGAGAGTGAATGAAATTGATGTACGTACGGGTTTGGAGTAGAGGCGAAACGGTACAAGGGTTTCTTTTGGATAATTTTGGAGAGTGAATGAAATTGATGTACGTACGGGTTTGGAGTAGAGGCGAAACGGTACAAGTGTTTCTTATAATTTTGGAGAGTGAATGAAATTGATGTACGTACGGGTTTGGAGTAGAGGCGAAACGGTACAAGTGTTTCTTATAATTTTGGAGAGTGAATGAAATTGATGTACGTACGGGTTTGGAGTAGAGGCGAAACGGTACAAGTGTTTCTTATAATTTTGGAGAGTGAATGAAATTGATGTACGTACGGGTTTGGAGTAGAGGCGAAACGGTACAAGTGTTTCTTATAATTTTAGAGAGTTTGGATGAAATTGATGTACGTTCGGGTTTGGAGTAGAGGCGAAACGGTACAAGTGTTTCTTATAATTTTGGAGAGTGAATGAAATTGATGTACGTACGGGTTTGGAGTAGAGGCGAAACGGTACAAGTGTTTCTTATAATTTTGGAGAGTGAATGAAATTGATGTACGTACGGGTTTGGAGTAGAGGCGAAACGATACAAGAGTTTCTTATAATTTTGGAGAGTGAATGAAATTGATGTACGTGCGGGTTTGGAGTAGAGGCGAAACGATACAAGAGTTTCTTATAGTTTTGGAGAGTGAATGAAATTGATGTACGAACGGGTTTGGAGTGTTTTTCTTATAATTTTGGAGAGTTAATGAAATTGATGTACGTACGGGTTTGGAGTAGAGGCGAAACGGAGAGTACAGTAGAGGCGAAACGGTACAAGTTTTCTTATAATTTTGGAGAGTGAGAAATTGAGTACGTTGGATGAAATTGATGTACGTACGGGTTTGGAGTAGAGGCGAAACGGTACAAGTGTTTCTTATAATTTTGGAGAGTGAATGAAATTGATGTACGTACGGGTTTGGAGTAGAGGCGAAACGGTACAAGTGTTTCTTATAGTTTTGGAGAGTGAATGAAATTGATGTACGAACGGGTTTGGAGTAGAGGCGAAACGGTGCAAGTGTTTCTTATAATTTTGGAGAGTGAATGAAATTGATGTACGTACGGGTTTGGAGTAGAGGCGAAACGGTACACGTGTTTCTTATAATTTTGGAGAGTGAATGAAATCGATGTACGTACGGGTTTGGAGTAGAGGCGAAACGGTAGGCGAGAGTGAATGAAATTGATGTACGGGGTTTGGACAAGTGTTTCTTATAATTTTGAGAGAGTGAATGAAATTGATTTTGGAGAGTAAATTGATGTACGTACGGGTTTGGAGTAGAGGCGAAACGGTACACGTGTTTCTTATAATTTTGGAGAGTGAATGAAATCGATGTACGTACGGGTTTGGAGTAGAGGCGAAACGGTACAAGTGTTTCTTATAATTTTGGAGAGTGAATGAAATTGATGTACGTACGGGTTTGGAGTAGAGGCGAGTTTGGATGAAATTGATGCAAGTGTTTGTCATAATTTTGAAGAGTGAATGAAATTGATGCACGTACGGGTTTGGAGTAGAGGCGAAACGGTGCAAGTGTTTGTCATAATTTTGGAGAGTGAATGAAATTGATGTACGTACGGGTTTGGAGTAGAGGCGAAACGGTGCAAGTGTTTGTCATAATTTTGGAGAGTGAATGAAATTGATGTACGTACGGGTTTGGAGTAGAGGCGAAACGGTACAAGGGTTTCTTATAATTTTAGAGAGTTTGGATGAAATTGATGTACGTACGGGTTTGGAGTAGAGGCGAAACGGTACAAGGGTTTCTTATAATTTTGGAGAGTGAATGAAATTGATGTACGTACGGGTTTGGAGTAGAGGCGAAACGGTACAAGGGTTTCTTATAATTTTGGAGAGTGAATGAAATTGATGTACGTACGGGTTTGGAGTAGAGGCGAAACGGTACAAGTGTTTTCTTATAATTTTGGAGAGTTTGAATGAAATTGATGTACGTACGGGTTTGGAGTAGAGGCGAAACGGTACAAGTGTTTTCTTATAATTTTGGAGAGTTTGAATGAAATTGATGTACGTACGGGTTTGGAGTAGAGACGAAACGGTACAAGCGTTTCTTATAATTTTAGAGAGTTTGGATGAAATTGATGTACGTACGGGTTTGGAGTAGAGGCGTGACTGTGGGTGCTATATCAATGTACCAAAAATAACTAATGTCGTTCATGGACACCCCCAGCGTTGAGAGTAGACCACTCCGTTGCAGGTTACCCCCAACGTTGAGAGTAGACCACTCCGTTGTAGGTTATTCCCAACGTTGAGAGTAGACCACTCCGTTGTAGGTTACCCCCAACGTTGAGAGTGGACCACTCCGCTGTAGGTTACCCCCAACGTCGAGATT